TATTGCCCTGATTCCATGGGATTTAGGGTGGGTTCTTTCTAGACATTCAGGACTGGGGTGACATTCTGACTCAGAAATGGTTGCCTAGGCAACATGAAAATACAGCAGAAAGAGCTAAAGGCTTGGGCTCAGGTGTTTGTATCATCTCTTTAAATGCTAGAGACATAGCACATGCACTCCAGGATCCCTGAGCCTTAGGAAATGCGGGAGAGTCAGTCTGGCCCCATAGCTCTGAAGGATTACAGCCATTGATTTCAGAGAGCATAGCCACTTGCTTTAAGCTAAGGGGTCTAAACTTCTGTAAAATGTGGGAATGCTTTAGATTTCAGCTTGTAGAGTTCAAAGCAAGATGGTGAGAGGGGAAATTGGGAGCAAACAGCCTACTGGATTCCATGGCTTTCTCTACTGGAGTGGCTGGTGAAGAGAAGTTAAGCTGAGTGGTTTGGCTGAGGGCTGGCCCTGCAGGGGCCTGAGGGTGTTTACCCCACCCCATGCATCCTGCAAGACTTGCTGCTTCAGGATTCTGTCACAATCACAATCTTATTGATCTTCAAAACCCTGTGAGGTGTCCCCATCCTGGGATGAGAACAAAGCATCAGGAGCCCAGGGCAGCATCTTCACATTGAATATTAAAATAATATACTTTAAGTGGTGATTTGGAAATATTGTTAAGAGCCAGAACTCACATTCAAATTATGTTTCCTAGAACTAGTAATTAGTTAAATTTTTTTTCTGTGTTTAAATGTTCAAAATAATTTATTCCTCCTATGTCATTCAGAACATCCTATCTACCCTCCTTGAGAACAGTAAAATCTTCAAGGAAACCAATTCCAGAGTTAGACATTGTGCTGGTACCAATTTGTGTTGTGGTTTTATGACTGCACTTAAAACACCTGGCAATGAACTCACCACGCCTTCCATTTAATTCAGCCTTGTCTGTTTCAATCATGTGACTGAGCTTGTAAATTGCATCCCAGCAGGCTGCAGGAATTCCTGTTAAATACTTAACCCAGGTTCTCGAGATGTAATAGCCAGAAATCAAACATCTTGTGTTTCTGTAACTGTCCCTAAGTCATCCATCAAAGATTGTGTTTGAAACAGATAGTTTCCGTGTGTGTGTGTGTGTGTGTGTGTGTGTGTGTGTGTGTTTGTGTGTGTATAGAAACTACTGTAATGGGAATCTGAGACATCTGTTTCAAATCCTGACTGAGCATTTGACTAGATTTGTGATCTTGGGCATCTCAACAAATATCTCTGACCCTCAGGTTCATTGTAGAGTGTAATTAACCCTGTTTACCTCCTATGGTGATGGTTAATTTGAGAACTAAATAAGATAATTAATTTGCATATAGAAAATATTCGGAATGATGGTGTCATTAGCCTGACCATTGAAGGAAGATTTGGGTGGGAGTAATAAATCTATAAAGGTTGGAGTCACCTACAACATTGTTACCATAATCTGTTTTGTGTTCCATTGATGCTTTGAGGTATCTAGATCCTAGTGGCGGCTGGTAGTGACACACTGGCCAGTGATGTTACCTGTCTGTTTTTCCTTTAGTCTTTCTGGAGTGTTGAGTTTTATTTGTCTTTCTCACTTCATACTGTGAACCAACTTGGAATATTTACCTTTGACATTTGGTTCACAGCTTTTCTTTTTCCCCTCCCAGATGGCACCAGGGGCAGATATGTCTGGGGTCTGACATAGAACAATTTCAACACTAGCCTGCTCAGGGAAAAAAAACCAGCCAATTTCTTATATAACTGGACATATTTTTCTGAATGTCTTACCTAGCCCACAAGAGGACTCAACTCACAAGATGTGAATGATGAAGTTCCTTTTAAAAGCCCTTCATCCCTTCTTATAGTTTTAAAGCTCGAGCCCAGGAAAATGTGCATTTCATTTCTAAGACTGAGTCTCCACCATCTGCCTCTCCTTCTCTTTCTATTGTGAATTTCCACCCCTTTCTGCACATCCTCAACAAGCTCTCTAGTTGTGCAGAAAATAATTCATTACAAGATGCATTGATTGCAGCAAGCCAGAAGCTTAGGAGCTTGGTTTGTGTATGTACCAATTCCCAAACTTCCCAATCCTTTGTACAGTGTATTTTCACAGATCAGTGTAAGCATCAATCAGAGGAGTGACAGTATATCATCTGCAAGTCCAAGATGCCCTTGCTTGTTTGCAGGTACAGCTGGCTCACACACCACAGGCAGGCCCTTTGGGACAAAGCTAGGAAATTAGGCCAGACAGAACAGTGAGTCGGGCTATTGACTCAGCAAGAACATCACCACAAAATTTCCTATGAAGTTGCAAGGCCAACAGTTGTCTTAAAAATTGAGACCAGTCCCAAGGGAAGACAGATAAATAATAAACAATGGTGTTCTGGGGTCTTGAATAATTTAGTTGGCATCAAGAGGTATTCCCTAAAAGTTATTTACCACCATTGTCTATTTCGTATTTCATATCGGGTTGTTTTGGTGACTCAGAGGGCAGTCAGAGAGTGCACCGGAAGGCTTATGAGCCCCCTGGGTGACATGAAGCAGGTTGACCCCACTCCTGCCTTTCCTACTAAGTGCTTGGAGAGCTTCTGCACATTAGACAGGAAATCAGACACTGTGAGAATTGATTGGCCCACAGGGAGAATAGAGAAGAAATCATTCTTAACAGCCTTAGTCAGTCAGTGGTGATCATGGACACTAAATGGCATCGGAAGACCATAAGTAGCCACCATGGAGAGAAGATGAGGGGGCAGCTCTGGCTTTGTAAATACAAATCGCCATGTGGCAGTGAGGGTTGTTTCTAAGTGTATGTTATCAGGCCTAAATTCATAGTTTATTTAATTTTCCAATTAAGTTACTAATGAAATGCTCTATAAATATGTTGCATTGTGTCAAATTATTCCAACTTCTGCACTGCATGGAAAAGAATGCAATTACAGAACAGTAGGAACACAACTGTTTACAGTTCTTAAGTATCACTACAATCAAGGTATTACCATTTTTACACCTTCAGAACTATTAGTTGACAATTTTAAATATTTATTTTAACTCTTCCAATTTCGTGTTTGCTTACATCTCTTTTTTACACTCCCTATTCAAAATGTTCCATGGAGCCGTAGCCTGCTGCTGTCTAGCTTGGGGTCTGGGACTAAGAGTAAATAGGAGGAATTTTAATTTTGATTTCCTGTCACTTCATAGTCCGTACTTTGTAGACATAATATCTAAAATGTGTAGGGCAGGAAGGAGGAGCCTCTGTGTAGATGAAAGTCAAGCCCCAGGACATGCAGCAGGGTGGCTATGGCCTCAGAATCTTCAGATCTTGCTCAATCATGAAGATACCATCTCTGGAGGTTATTCCACTTGGTACTAAATTTACCTAAACATGAAATATATATATATTGTAATCAATAGTCTTTCTAGACACTTCCTAAAAACTCAGAAGCACCATGCTTAAGGCTTATTAATGGTTTGTCTATCTTATTTCTGCTAATTTGATCATCTCATTAAGTATGTTCCCTCTAATACCCACATCAAAAGTCTCTGATGACAGTTTTAAAAAGTATCCATGTGAATAATAAACATCCACTTTTGAAATCAATTTTCTTATGAGAAAATGATTTTCAGAATTAATAAAAATATGGCCCCAGGTAGCATGATTCGCTTGTCCTACAGCTAAGAATTCAATTCTGTAGGCTGTGCAAATGTGGCTAGGGATTAGTCATATCAGAATAGCATTTTTTTTAGCCAGGGCTGTCAGTGGTTCCTATAGATAGCTTGTCCTCTGTATTTTCAGTGCCAGAGATATTTATGATTCTAAGTGCACTATGCATGGCTATTAAAGGCATAAGAAACAGCAGGGGTATGGTTCCAACTGCTTGGTAAACAATTATAGCAAGATGTTTATTAAAGCTGGCTCTCAAGTGACAGATAAATGCATAGTTCTGTTCTGCACTCTAAATTCGGCAAGTTTCATGCTCAAAAGCAGATCAAAACAAGAGAGCTTCAAAAAAATTTCAAAAATTTTAAGAAAAAATGCAATAACGTCACTGTATGATGGGGAAATAAGTAATTACCTTAAAAATGGTCTCCCTTCAGCTCCTCAAGAAACATGAAACTACAGCTCATGAAATAAAATTAGAAGCATTTTAGGGGTACACAATTTGTTACCTTGCCTAGAAGTAAGCTCTTAAAAATCCATTTGAATAGGTTTTTGTTAAGCACAGACATGATTGAATCCTTTGGGGTAGGGGAACAGACAAACGGGCCAAACAAAACCTACATCACACAATTACTGGCATATAATTCTTATTTATTAAGGTGCGATGTTTACATCTTTAAAAAAAATGAAACCCAAACAAAAAAATGCACATACACAGAAGACATTAAAGAGATCCTCCCTCATCCAGCATTTTCTACCACATGAGGTTTCGGTGAATGATTTCTGAATTCCCTTGGTCAACATTGCCATAAGTTTTTCTATTTTCACTGTCCAGAACCATGTCTACCACAAAATGTACAATATTGTAGACAGTGGGCTGTGCAACCTTCACATGATTACGACTTCCATTCCTTGGTTGTCTAGAATGTTGTGGAAATGCCAATACATTTGAGAGCTCACCCAACCGTTCCTCTTAACCTTTGTTCCCAAAGGAAAAGGGCAAGACTATTAATCAGGCAGCGATTTATCTTTAATTAGGAAAACATAATTAGGTATTATCATCTAATTGCAATTAGTGGTTGGAGAAAGTCACATTTCGTGAGCAGTGACCCATGGTGCATTGCAGCCCTCCTCTCACTGGATTTTACATTTGTATTTATATTCAGTGGCTAGCCAATAAAATTTAAAAGGCAATCACTGTGCTTCTCTGCGGTCCAGTGTCAAAGTCACCAACTTCTACAGTGAACCAAGAGAACTTTCGACAACCACAAATCAGCTATGTCTGTTTCCTGCTCAGACATCAAGTGTAAGTCAAAATAATTGTATAAAAAAATCCCACGAGAAATAGACTGGAGAACCGTTCTACACTTCATGTCTGGTACAGTTAAAAACAGTTAATGTCTCAAGGCACCACTATGGTTGAACATCAGATACATGGGTAATCGGCTACTCTACCTTGCTGTAAAGTCAGTAAATAGCTTGTGCAGTTGTGAGAAGCAATCTCTAGAGGACCATTAAACATACAAGAGGCACATGTTTCATAATACAAATAGAAAACAAAGAGTCTAGAAAAAGCAATGTTGAGCACCGTTGTGGCATCGTTTGTATTTCCTTACCTAACGCTATGTAAACCTGACATTTACAAAATGAAAGACTACGACGATTTTAAAGTTACACTCAAGGTTGCTCTTTCTGCTATCTCCACCTAAGAGATTCTAGTTCGTCCGCATACTTTGAGAGGCTGCTGGGTCTTGATCAGCCTCCACCTCACTGGTAGATTCCTTCAGATGCAAGCTCAAGTTTTCTGATGTCAGATGGGAGGACTTGTAGACTATCTCGTTAAAGTCGGACCTGATGGAAACCAAGGGGGGGTCATTCAGAGGATCTTCCACAGAAACCTGGGTGTTTTCTCTCGTGATTCCCATGTCTTTGCTGTGTTCTGATGGGGATTTCCTTTTCATGCGAGTGTAAGTTTTGTCTTGATTCTCCATCCCTTGCTCATTTTTCAGAAACCGTCCAAAGAACCAAATGAAGAATCCAAACCACACAAAAGCTATCAAACTTGGAACAAAAGCCAGACACTTCACATCTAGGCTAGCCCCTATGAACCTGCTGTGTAAGAACATGTCGCCCTCAACGTAGGTTTTATTAGTCTGAGGATTAGTGTGATTGGACCGCCATTCCCATGATAGCTTCGTTCTGTTTAAATCCTTTAAACTTTCAGAGTCTTTCACTGTATATATCTTCTGCCCTGGGCCAATATACTGTCCATATTCATGAGGTTTGTAGAATATCTGGTTCTTCCACATATTCAGGTCCAGAATCAAGACGAGAAAGATAATTCCGTAGTTAAACCATTTGCCTGCATTTAAAAGGAAATACTGAATTAATCAAATGATGATAAAACTGCAATCCAGTTTTCTCCATTAAAATAAAGATAATAGTACAACAGTATTAACTGTTGAAGAGTAAGAGCTGTTGGCATTTTTTATTTTTATTTATTTATTATTTATTTATTTATTTATTTAATTGGAAAGGGCAATGCAACCAAAAGTGAATTGAAAAAGTGAAATGAATGAAACTGCAAACAGTAGGTCTCTGAGTAACTTGGGATTTACTTTAATATGATTTCATCTCTTTGTTTTATATGCACCACAGCTAGATTCAAAGTTAGTCTTGGGTTCTTTTCAAGAATAGTTTAATTAGTGGTGAAAAACAGTTCTAATGAAAATTTTAAGAAAGTCCAATCTATGATTGACTATTTCTTACTGTTTTATAATTAGGTCTGGGGAAGAAATAAATCATCTTGCAATGAGAAGCACAGTAGCAGGTCAATTGAATTCCCATCGCTGTTTGTAGGAGACCTGTTGATTAAACCGTTAGCTGATGTGATTCAGATCCATAATCCCTGAGAGTTCATTTCAAGACCTAAGAAATTCACACCAAGCACCCATTGAACACAGTGTACTTATTAAATATACAAGCAGAGCAAAGAAACTACTGGAAGATGTCACTTGGAGAGAATGTAACCACTATGATTTCCTCTTAGTATTTAAACCATTACATATGAACCAGAGAGGCAGCTCTTTCATTAAGAGTGCAGAGGACCCAAGTTTGGCACCTAACACTCATGCTTCTATATAATCCAGTTCCAAGTATGATGCAATGTCTCTGACCTCCATAGGCATCACCACTCACCAACATGTGCATACACATAATTAAATCATACATACATATATAAAATAAATAGGATCTTTTCAATGATGTGTTACTGAAATGTGTCTGCACAGGGAAAGAACACAGAACATTTCTAAGGGTTACGAGGTTCTATTATAATGGTTAGCATTTCTTACAGGTTCTATAGCATCGGATATACTATAATAATGTTAATGTCTCCCTTGAGTTTGTTGTAGCAAATGCTGTGATACCGGAAGAGACGAGAGAAGCTTTAGTCATAGTTTTAAGTGCCATGTCCACATTGATTACTGAAGGCAATCATATTGAACATCACAAAATTCCTTCTCCACGTGATTGTCCATTTTGTACATTGTGCAGCTTTTGGGAAAGTGATCTGACTGTGAGGCAGTGGGGAATACATGTGCACATTATTGGATCCTGTGATATGTAAAGCCGAGGGGAGCCATCCTGCCCCAAAATCCACCTGCTATTTGATTTCGGTACTTGCCTTAAATTCTTTAAAGCCTGTTTCCTTCTATGAAGAGAAACAAACGAACCAGTATTTCTTGAAGTTAATATTTCACGAGCTTATGGAGACTAAGCACCATGCCTTGTGGATAATGATCCAGTCGTTTTAAACACCAATTGTTAGGGTCATCATCAAAACTTTGCCTGGCTGATGACGATTTCTTTGTCTAAAGAAGAAATCACCACTTGCCGTGGATTGAAGAGTTTAGTTAAAGGAATTAACAGTGCTTACATCTTTGTGCTTTGTTGCTTTTATAGCTTGCCTTTTTTATGATTGATCAGCATGAACATATTTTAATCTTGAAGCTCTAAAGGCCGACTTGAACTTGGTTAACATATAAAGACAAGGTTCCCGACATTCCAAGGTATTGTCTGATTTAGTGTGCAAAAAAAAAAAAAAAAATCAAAGGTGCACAGTCTCACTAAACATTTGTTGAGCTCATATTCGACACTGTGCAGTGCACACCACCAGATGGTGGGAGATACAAGTTTCTACCTTTCAAGGGGAATTCATCATCTTGTTGGTGAAACAGGACAGAGATATAACAGACAATAATAGCAGACTGCTTTTGAGAGATGTCAATGAGGGATACAAACTATAAATGCAAGAGACATTGCGAACATGGAATACAAACCAAGGAGAAATTTCTGTAGGAAGGACTTTGTAGGAAGCAGCAATTCACATGGTCCTTGAGGAAGAAACGGGGCTGAGAAGTCTGAAGCGTTTGTCTTCTTTTAGTTAACACGTGTATATGTGTGACTGCACGTAGAATAGTATGGTGGAGAGGATGAGTTGCAGGAGGAAAGGCGAGCCAAGGGAAGCTAAGGAAAAGTGTGGAACATGAGATAGACAAAGAATGTTAGGAGAGAGATGTGAGACAGGTGTCAGAGTGAAGAGAGTCTCACCCAGTATGAAGGGCACACACGTCCTGCTGCCAGGACAGCAGGTACATTACAGAGGTTCTCTAGGGCTCTGATGTAGACGCTGCACTTAGGCTTTGGTTATAAACTACATGTGTTACAAAGGTAGACTGAATGGCAGAGCCAGAAAGCCTCTCAGCTTTACCTCAGTGGACCTTACCGAAATGTCTATACTACTTGCTTCTATTTAAAATAAACTCATGAGAAGGGAAACCCAAGAGAAAGAGTCCCTGGTTTCTGGGATGAGTAGCTTATGAAAAACCAGAGTTATCACCACCCCTGAACTGGGGAGAAGAAAAAAGGGTCGCTCATGGGGTCAGTTGAAGATGCTTTCCCAACAGACAGACATGAGCATTGTGTATGTTAATAAGCAATTCATTCAGAGTAAATATGGGAGTGATTAGGCATCTGGCAAGGATGAGGGAGAAGATGAAAATATGCTGCCTAACTTGGGTCTCATCGTCTTCCACTGTCTGTGAGGGAAATGCAATAAGGATGGAGCAGATGCCAGCCTCACCCTGACATCAGACATAGAGGACACCCTCTGGGGTAGCGGGTTTAGCCTTTCTCAACTGCCATCATTTTATTTCCAGTGTGAGAAATGTGAGCTAGTTTTCTGATTCAGACTTCTTCCCACAAAGCCTTCTATTTATTTGCCATGGGCAGAATACTGCTCTTGTGTTGCTGTTGTCTATGTAGTCTGTAGAATGGAGAATAATCTATGTGTAACTTTCTCAGAGCATATTTGAGGATAAAATAGAGGTTCGACTTGAGAGTTGTCTGCAATATATAACATTTGCCAAAAACATTGTATTGTTTCACCAATTTCTTTTTCCTGTCTTTTTCAATCCAAAGGGACAGAATAACATACAAGGGTGGTAACAAAGTTATTTCTATGCTAAAAGTTGCTTTATTTTTTGTTTTTGTTTTTGATAAACTATCATGACGGTGTGTATCACTGGTATCTACAGATAACACCAGACCAGATATACACTGAGATCCACTATACCACTCCATGTAAATATACTTTGTGAATCACCAGTGGGTAGTTTGTCTACTTGCAGTGGTAATTAATAGCTCTGAGAAAGTTACCACATGTAAGTAAAATTGGAGGCCAACAACATGTATATTGCCGTTGCCTCTCCTCCAGTGTTAAGAGTCCAGTATGAGAATGGGAGATGTATATGCTAAACTAACACTGGAGTATGGCAGGCTTCCTCAAACATCACAGAGACTTCAGCTTCCTGTGGATGTAACAATATTGTTCCACCACTGCCATGACTGCTCAGCTAAATCTTGAGATGCTGAAAGAGTAGAAAATATGGCCTTTCACAATCTTTGGCTTTCAACCACCTGCCATGACCTCTGGTTCCATTTGAATATTTGTGGAATCCTTGGATATGTAATTTTAAAGGTGTCTCCATTAAATATAACCCTCATTTAAGACACAAATTGATAATGATTGGGAGGAAATATGCTTTTTTTTTTCTTTCAGGTGAGAAAAAAAAGCTACAGCATGCTGATATTTGTAACACAGGAAGGAGATCCATCACCAACCATCTACCCTTTGATTTTTGCGCTATTTTGTTAACTTGGTGATTCTTTTTTCCCTTAAGAAACTCCTTGGCTCTATGAGGTGTGGTCTCCTGTAACGCACAATCAGGCAGTGCAAACTTAATCTCCCATGTTGATGTTCTTGTGTGATGCAGGGGAGTTGAGCTACACAGTCCTTAAGGTTTCTTCCCAACCCTAAAAGTTTCTCTCTCTGGTTTAATCATTATGAAGCAAACTTCTCCAAAGTTTCGATATTGTAGAATGGGCCAGAAAATTCCCAGTTGGTAGAAACAAAACAAAACAAAACAAACAAACAAAAAAACAGGTGAAACATGGTTTTCTGATGAAGAAGGCTGTACTTAAAATTTGGTACAGTTTGAAAAGCACTTTACATAGAGTAAACCTTAGTCTCTGAAATAGACTGCATGGAGATCTGTAAGACAAGACAAGGATCCAACAGAAAATGCTTCTCCATCCTTTTCCCCAAGTGCCTTTGTGAATACATGATCAGCTATAGCTGGAGATTTGGAATTTCCACATTAATCATGTGAGCATGTTTGCATTCCCCCGTTGTTTCAACTACTTAGCGTAATGCAAATCAGCAAGGGGGTAGGACAGAAGCCATGCATTATTTCTCTTAATCTCTTTGTTGAAATAACTCTCTGTCTGCTTTAATGAGAAATCACCACATGTATGTTGGCAGGGGCTACCTCCTTCTTGTATTTTGTCATTTTAATGAATCTTATTGATTGTCAAAATGATACTGCAATGGAAATGTTATCTTCTTACTTTGTGGGAGTTTATGGAATCGTTGGATATGTAATTTTAAAGGAATCTCCATTAACTATCACCTTCATTTAAGACACAAATTGACAATAATTGGGAGGAAATATATGCTTTTGTTTTCAGCTGAGAAAAAAAAAAGCTACAGCATGCTGATATTTGTAACGTACAATGAACATTTCATGTCTCCAAATGCATCTAAAATATTTTTAATTATGTCTTCATTGGAGCTGCCAGTAGCCATTGGAATGCAGCTATTCTGTAGACATCTCTGTACCGGGTGGACATTACCACTTGACCATAAAGGGCAGCTGTCCAGATATTCATGTTGCCTATTATGAATGCCTTTTATCATCCATTGTGAGGCAGTAAGAAGCCATGGCCTTGAAGAAGATGGGT